GTTTTGCGGTACTGTGTGCCGTCTGTGTTCCTGAAGTTATAAAGTAGCTCAGGGAAGATGGCCACTACTGCGCTTTTGACATTGTGATTTTGAGATGTTGATGCCTTTCAATAATGATGAATTTTTCCAGGTCCGAATTCCGGTGCTCATGATCTCTTACCAATGTATGATAGCAATTAACATTACATATCCAGCTAGTCAAGGGTTAGTTTTCTCGACAAGGATCGCTGCTGCTTTTTGATTTTGCTGAATTTTTGATTTTCAGGTACATCGTACAGATCAAAGTATCACCGGGTTACTACGATTTGTTCCGATACCTTATTCCATTTGTAGTCGTCGTAGGATTCTGCTTCATTGTACTGCTTATCAGTTTGGTAAGTTTTTTTTTGTTCGCTGCACGTAAAGGCAGTGGGCACGATAGCTAGGGGCGGAACGTTTGTCATTGGTGGAAAGGCTGAGCTGGTGTGGCCAAACGCCATCGCAGCCCCTCCACCAATGATGCTAGCAACAACCGTCCGCCTCCAGCAGTCGTAGCCACTGCCTTTAGTGATTAACTCCTTAAGTCCGACCCACCGATTGACTCATTTAAAGATATTGAAGGCGATACGATTGTGTCGTGAGCGTCGACGCGTCGCTCGAAAACGTCTCTCGAAAAGGAATCTTCGAAAGATTCCAACGAAGAAATTCCGGAAAGGTAAATCGATTTTGGCGCTGTTTTAGTTTTCTTGTGAAATATCGATGCTTCTAGGAGACGAACCAGAAACGTGTGCTATTTGCCTAGACGACTTCATCGAGGGTGAAAAATTGCGTGTTTTGCCATGTCGACATAGTGAGTTATGCTTCATTTTTATTCCCTTCGATATTGGAATGTTAAGGAAGGAAATGCAGTAGTAGTTGGAACTTCGGAGCGATTTACGTAAGAACACCGGGGCCTCACAAAGCTCTCAAAGTATGTTAATTTAGCTCAGAGCGCTAAAGTCACTGCTAGGGCCAGAGCATGTCATTGCGATGGGGTGCATGAAGGGCAGATATCCGACTAAATAACGAACTTAGTAATAAATAACATCACGGCAAGAGGGTAGGGTACACATACTTTGAAGGAGAAAAGCGTTTCACATAGTTGACCTATCAAATGGAATATGGGGCGGTTTTCATGAGGATAAGACAGCGTTCAGCCATCGCAATGATCAGCTACCCTCCTGTTATCCTCGCTCTCTCGCAACACTAGCTACCGACGCCGATCGATACACGTCCATGCTGCCTTCCCGTCTGGCATTGGAGCGCTTGTGTAGTGGTAGCGCGTGATCGCGAAGTATGAACCCTTTGCCCTGATGTGCCCTGTATAGGGCTCATAGGCAGCACCACGCAGCCATGATGTGTTCTGATTCCAGTACCTTCTTCTTTTTTGGCACTTGACATTTCCCATTACTGTTTTGGTTATGCCATTGATTGTTTTTCCTTTATGAAAAATCTGTGTATAGCTACAGCTGGGTTTTACCCCGAAACAACTCGGTAAAACTTACTTAGTTTTTTTTAATTGTGCTAAAAATCAATTGCCGATAAACCCATTAATCTGTTAATTACTTTACTGCTATTACAACGACAAGTGTGGTTTAAGCCTATCATTTGCAATTGTAATCCGAATGCCATGGTTAAAACTCAAAAATCGAAAAGGTGGGCCCTATGGTGTTTTAAACGGCGTGTTGGCTTGCATATAAGGAAACTCCGGACTCTTGAATCAAGGTGACGCATGCAAAGGGACGACAGGAGGCTAGCGTTTTCCTTGTTTTTTTTTCTAAATCCTGTCGCCTAATTCGGTTTCTTGGCTTTTTTCTTAAGAAGTGCCCTTGTTTTCCTTTTTTTTCGGTGGATTCGTGTACTTTAGCAAACCTACATTTTCTCGAAGGCACATCAGTTACTCATACCTATGCTCGAAACGACGAAGAAAAAAGCGACCGAAAAAAACTCGATTGGTGAGTTCCTTTTCTTAAATTTTAAATTATTGATTCATGAATTCAATTCAGCAAGGGAGAAGACGAAAGTAAACTAAACCTATAACTTGATTCTTTGTTTCATTATAAAATCGTGTCGACCCACTAAACCTTGGGAGAGAGGCACATTTTAAAGGTCAGGGCGGGGACCACGATGGGAACTGGGGCGGGTTTTACTACTCTAACGCCATTGGTGAAAGGCTGTGGAAGGCGTTTGGCCTTGCTACACTCTGCCCTTCCACCAATGACGTTGGCAGTAATCGCTCGCTTTTAGCCAACTTGCCCACCACCTTCAAAAAAGGACCCTATGTAAAAAAACGGGGAATTCCCGCTTTATACATAGCGGGTCTTTTTCGGACGTGGAAGACGCGTGCCAAGCCGTTGGGAGCATTCACGAGGTTTGTGGGGTTGGCCGAACCAAATTCAACGGGAGGAGAGTTTCGGGGAGTGGCGGTTTTCGCCACCAACCTTTTTTTTTTTTTTTTTTTTTTTTTTTTTTTTTTTTTTTTTTTTTTTTTTTTTTTTTTTTTTTTTTTTTTTTTTTTTTTTTTTTTTTTTTTTTTTTTTTTTTTTTTTTTTTTTTTTTTTTTTTTTTTTTTTTTTTTTTTTTTTTTTTTTTTTTTTTTTTTTTTTTTTTTTTTTTTTTTTTTTTTTTTTTTTTTTTTTTTTTTTTTTTTTTTTTTTTTTTTTTTTTTTTTTTTTTTTTTTTTTTTTTTTTTTTTTTTTTTTTTTTTTTTTTTTTTTTTTTTTTTTTTTTTTTTTTTTTTTTTTTTTTTTTTTTTTTTTTTTTTTTTTTTTTTTTTTTTTTTTTTTTTTTTTTTTTTTTTTTTTTTTTTTTTTTTTTTTTTTTTTTTTTTTTTTTTTTTTTTTTTTTTTTTTTTTTTTTTTTTTTTTTTTTTTTTTTTTTTTTTTTTTTTTTTTTTTTTTTTTTTTTTTTTTTTTTTTTTTTTTTTTTTTTTTTTTTTTTTTTTTTTTTTTTTTTTTTTTTTTTTTTTTTTTTTTTTTTTTTTTTTTTTTTTTTTTTTTTTTTTTTTTTTTTTTTTTTTTTTTTTTTTTTTTTTTTTTTTTTTTTTTTTTTTTTTTTTTTTTTTTTTTTTTTTTTTTTTTTTTTTTTTTTTTTTTTTTTTTTTTTTTTTTTTTTTTTTTTTTTTTTTTTTTTTTTTTTTTTTTTTTTTTTTTTTTTTTTTTTTTTTTTTTTTTTTTTTTTTTTTTTTTTTTTTTTTTTTTTTTTTTTTTTTTTTTTTTTTTTTTTTTTTTTTTTTTTTTTTTTTTTTTTTTTTTTTTTTTTTTTTTTTTTTTTTTTTTTTTTTTTTTTTTTTTTTTTTTTTTTTTTTTTTTTTTTTTTTTTTTTTTTTTTTTTTTTTTTTTTTTTTTTTTTTTTTTTTTTTTTTTTTTTTTTTTTTTTTTTTTTTTTTTTTTTTTTTTTTTTTTTTTTTTTTTTTTTTTTTTTTTTTTTTTTTTTTTTTTTTTTTTTTTTTTTTTTTTTTTTTTTTTTTTTTTTTTTTTTTTTTTTTTTTTTTTTTTTTTTTTTTTTTTTTTTTTTTTTTTTTTTTTTTTTTTTTTTTTTTTTTTTTTTTTTTTTTTTTTTTTTTTTTTTTTTTTTTTTTTTTTTTTTTTTTTTTTTTTTTTTTTTTTTTTTTTTTTTTTTTTTTTTTTTTTTTTTTTTTTTTTTTTTTTTTTTTTTTTTTTTTTTTTTTTTTTTTTTTTTTTTTTTTTTTTTTTTTTTTTTTTTTTTTTTTTTTTTTTTTTTTTTTTAGGAAAAAAGCTGGGGCGGTGTGGCCAAAACGCCTCCTCGCAGGGGCCCTTCCACCTATGGCGTTGCGGGGCACAACCGGCCTGCGCCCCCCAAGCCATCATCTCCACTTTAGTCAGCTGCTTCTTATTTGCATGCAACGGCGTTGTGCCAGTTCTTGCACAAGCGGGAGTCTTTTTGTAATGCGGTCCCGCCACGAGAAGGCCTCATTTAGCAGCCGTCATGGGTCTGTGTTTGCTGAGAACGCCGGTTGGTTGCCTCTGCAGTGTTTTAGTGAAATAGCTTTTCCTTAAGCCTGGGATAGGAAATTGTATCAAGATTTCCAAACACGCTTGTGGTTCTGCTATTTTCTCAAATTTTTTTTAATCAACTTGCATCAAATCTGTGATTACGTGGGAGGGTCTAAAAAAAAAGAACGCGTACTTGGGCTCATATAGCGCTCACCAAGCGTAAAGCCTTTAATTCGCACGGCATGTGCGGTGGAATTAGACTTCCTTCGGACCTTTTACTTTCGGACATCTCTCCAAATTCTTTAAACTTAGACACTCCGTCGTATCAATCGTTTATTGTGCGGATTCCTTATAGCTTATTGGACATCGGGCTTGAACAGGCAAGGTCGAGGGTCTTGAGCAGGCGCCAAGTTGGTCCAAAACCGGACCATCGCTTCAAAAACGGGCAGGGACGCCATCAGTTTGTGCAGTACCAGAGCGAAGTCTTCATGAACATGACCGAATGGATTTTCAACAACTGCCGGAACCCACACAGCTGAGTCGGGAAAGAAGGTCGTGCGGCAAGCCTTCTTGAGTTCGTCTTCCTCGGCGGATGGCTTCAGCTTCTCGCGATTGTGCACAAATTGGACGAATGCTTTCTTCTGCTTACCAATGAACTTCTCGCGCAAAATATTATTCAACCCGGCTCTTATCCCAACGGCTTATTATTCACGGGTTGCAGATGTAAGCTTTATAGGTGGGCGGACATATGAGCAAAATCGTTTTTATTGGTATATGAGGAAGTTTCGAAATGAAGTTGATAATGTGACAGTCTTGTACGCTGCAGATGCTAGGGCGTGTCAGACCGGATGGGATTGACCCTAGCGCCAAACTCGTTCTGTTTCTATTGAAGCGGGCAAGCGACAGCAATTGGTGGGAAACAAACTGGCGCCGCTCCAGACCCTGCCCGTTGAGACGCGCCAGCATCCGCAGCGAACAAAACTGTACCGTGTATGCCACGTGATTCCTCCCGAGGCGCATAGCGCCTTTGAAGTGATGACTTTGCACCCGGTTGGAATGACTGACTTGATTGATGGAACAAATTTCATTCTAGTTCTGTTTTCTCGTCACATTCGTGAACTTCCTTATTGTGATGATTTCAGCCTCTACTAGTCAAGTACTGGCAGATGTACATCACAGTGATATCGGCGGATCTCGTGAACAGTTGGTGGAAACCGACGAGGTCGCATTGCAAGGAGAACGAGGAACAACGGACGATGAGGCTGAGACGAATACGCTTTCACAGTCACTCAAAAATAAACTGAAAGGATTCTTCACGAAGTCATCGTCGCGACCACCGATGGATGTAAGTTTGCTTTGACTGCTGTGTCCTTTATTGAGCCCTGTATTCCGGAAACTGATGGTCGTAATTGCGGACTCAGCCTGTTCGCTAGGACGACCTCGAAAAAATTGACAGTGTAAGTGAACAAGATGATCCGCTTTTTGTTGCTGGAACCTTGTGGCACTCAAAGAATAAAATAGAAGGCTGTTGGGGCTAGCCACCCTAGAAAAGTGCGAAATATTTCGAGGCCATGCCAACCGAGCCATTTAGTCTGTAATTACGACCCACCTAACCGTCGGATATAGGGTGTTGGTATGGTGCACCAAGTAGGAGAATAGACCTTGTCTCTTTAGGGATCTGGAGAAGTGAACGATGCTTATGAAGGTGGAAGTACTCCTCCGGCAGACACAGTATCTGTTGAAACGTCAATTTTTGAAGATGTTTCACTCGAAGAAGGGTGAGCTTTCGTTGATTCTGATTGCTTCGTTTACTGTTAGCAAGTGCGCTGCATAGTAATTCATCGAGTACCATTCGCTCTCAATCAACTGGCAGATTCTAGGGATTCTGAAATTTGACTTGATCCCTAATTTTTCTTGATCTGAGAAATGTCGATTTCTTTTCGTAAGTTTATGTAGGTACATCAAGTATCCCAGGGCCTCTGAGGGCGTGGCTGCATCTCACCGTGACGAGCGTTTTTGGTGAGCACGGCAGCTCCGGGACAGTTGTAATCATGTTTATGTCTAACACAAGGCAGGATGATAAAGGGAGAACCCGTTCCTTGCCATGTTCAAATGAAACACGTAGCCACGCCCACTCCAGTCTTTGGATATGGAGTGTAACATGTTCTTTTGAAGTTGTAAGCCATCATCTGTTCTGCTGGAAATGTTTTTCATTCTAGTTATTG